GTTTCGTAATTCGATAAGATAAATAAAGTTTTGTAAGATGTAACGTAAATTGTTATTATTATTCTTGATATATTATTCCCGGCTTGATTAATTTAATTAAGTTCTTCGGTTATACCGATATTGGGGATTTTAAAAGTATGTGTAACCTAATATTTAAATTTTAGGTTGGACGAAAGGTTTTGATTTTTTAGGATATTAAAGGCTCATCATATCGATCCCTATCCATTAAACAACGTTTATATTTTCTTTGGTCAACGTAAATTCCCAAGATTCGATCACGATTCAGGAAATTATATCGTTGCTGTTCCATGACTATTATTAAAAAATTAAAAGAAAAAGTAAAGGTGGTTATTTTTTGCTTATTTATACTGATTTGCAAATGCGTCATCAATTATTTAATCACCGTAATAAGTCTAATAATGAGAGATGCAAAACGGTTCTATCAGTTTGTGTATCTCTAAGTCTAATAACTAACTGTTAACCCAAGTGATTTTTTAATCGGTGAAAAATGAAAAATACCACGTGTCCATTGAGAGTCGTGAGAATCGACAATTTTGTGATCGATGCAGAACAAAAACGCACTAACAAAATCCACGTGGAAAGAACTCCAAAATCAACAATTCCAAAAACCAAAGACACGCAACAACAAATTTCACCCGAAATAAATTCAAAACCATCACTCTATAAACTGCCGTAAACAAAAACAACAACTCCAGCAATAGCGACTCTAAGAATGATGATCTTAAGTGATCATTACTTATATATGATCAAGGCTAAGCTATTTACTATAAAAATTCTATAAATAAAATTACATAATTAACTAGTGAATAACTCGTCTATTCCAAATACTACTTACTAGTAGACATCGAAGAACGACGAGCCAAAGGTGTAAAATAAAATTGTAAGTACGTGCCTATGAAATCAAAACAAGGGATATTATCAAATTTGGGTGATGCAGATCGCCCTTTTTTTGGGTCGTCCCAATCACGTGACACAGAACCAATAAAATTGTTTATTTTGATCGACACGAAGAAGAAATACAAGAAACAAGTGTCCGGAGGGCAATTTTACTCTAAGACATGCTCTAAACTTAACCCCAACTAACCTTTACCCTAATTTTTATAAAATAGTCAAAAACATACGACTGGACACTATATATGGTATCATATAAAAATTTTATTATTAATGTTTTCGTGTTAATTTAGCGAACACTATAATGAATTTTATTATGAATATAATACATTAATTAAAACAATTACATTAATAGTTTATTAAAAATATTCGAAGCAATGTCAGGCTCGAATTGTAATTGAATTTCTTGAAGCGGCATTTTCTTCTTATTAATATTTCTTTTCGCATTTAATTCATTCGAATAATTCTCTTTGGGGATTTTGCTTGAAGATAAATGAAGCTTAGATTGTTTTGTTGACATTGGCAGATTGGGATGTGTTTTTAGGTCCAATTTGTTAAAAAGACCTTCGAGTTACTGTTGGTTGATTATAATGAAGTAGATTCGGGCATCTTTTAATTGAGATCGATGTTTGTATGATTTGTAAATCCCTATTTTTTTTTTTTTTGATGCAATAATTATAATGACACTTAATTAAATGCAGGGCATTTACAACTAATAATTAGAAATCCAAATTTTAAAGATCCCTACAATGAGAGTTACAGAACCAAAATTTATATTTAATTAAAAAAATTTTTACCATCAGTTTAAGTTTCATCAGATTATTCAAACGACAAATGAAGGTAAAGTAAATTTAGAAAAAAATTCGTTTTCCATATCTAATATGAAAAATAATTCTGTAACTTTGTTAACGGATTGAGAAAGAGTTATTTGGCATTGAAACTTTCTGCCAAAATAGAAAATTGCAATCTACGCATCTAAAAAAAAGATGCGCCAATTTTATATATTTATATATAAGTGCATTGCTGATTAATAATTTTGATCAAAAGAAATTTCTATACGCTTAAACTATAAGTAACCACATATAGTTTTGATTTACTTAGTTGACATACATCCCCAACTAGACACGTCCCCATTTTATGGTAATCAAGAAATTTCTAGCACGCATACGAAAATCCTGCAAATTCTGTTTTTTTTCTGCACATAACATCTAAAGGTACAGAAGTATATGGAAATAAAGAAACGAATGAAAATCTAATGGTGTTTTAATATATCGATAATGTGATTTTTCATAAGTTTGTAGAGAAAATATTATTTATATTGATAATTAACTCAGAAAGTAATAGTTATAATTTCTTATTTAGTTCCAAAAGCTTTATTGGGTCAAAAGTCTATACCAATTGCAGATATTATAGAGTTTTTATGTATATTACCCAGAAGTTATATCTACACCAACTGTAGATAATATGAATCATGCTCCAGAGGTTTTATCAGATCGAAAGTATACACTATTTAGTGTTTCTCAAGCCGATTAAATTTTTTTGGCTAGACTAAACCGTTGAATTTTAATAGCTTAGCAGCCTATCCAGCAGGTTCCGTTCATTTTACCGACAATCAATTCACTGGCAGTACGATTTTTTGACAATCAATTCACTGGATCCCCAGTATCGCCACCAAAATCATTTATATATATACGGAGCTTAAATTTATTTGCCTACATTAAAATTAATGATTAATACAATAGTGACGATAATAATATATCAAGAATAATAATAATATATCAAGAATAATAATAACAATTTACGTTACATCTTACAAAACTTTATTTATCTTATCGAATTACGAAAC